GATAACTTTCAAACCTCATGAAACTTTTTAATTGTGAATATTATTTTTATTCTTTTTATCATATAAATTATTGTAATTTAAAAGAAATACATTTATAATTATATTACTTACAAAATTTTCTGGTTACTTCCTTGCTTATATGATATAAGCTTTTGAGTTAAAATAGTTATTTATATGATATTAAAGTCAACGTGACTAAGTGGTCATGATTTTGATTCTTATTACCTCCATTTTATTAATATTTTTGTGTGAATATTATAGAGTTTCTTAGTAAAGGTAAGTTGGGCATGATACATCATTCACCCTTAAGATCCAAGAGGCTTTGGTGCGACGGGGTATGTTAAAAAAATATAAAATTATTAATGTGATATCACCCAACAATTTAAATTTTTGGGTTGAAATGATTGGATACTGTACAAAAGCATTTGGCAAATGAGATATCACCCAACAATTGGTAAATTTCTTCATGTAGTAATTAATTAATATATGTCTTAATCTTTCTGACTCTTGCATTGCATTTCTTTTTATGAGTTTGTCTATTTTCAAAAGCATTTTAAAGATTGAATATTCTTATTTTAAAGGTACAAAATTTAAAGCATACAATTCTCAGTAATCTTGGCCTTCGACAATTGGTCATGTCATCAATTTTAATGTTAGGAACAGGAACTCAAAATAAGTTGTAGTTAATGTTGTATAAATACTTTTTCTTTTTATATATAAACAAAAGAGTTTCGACTCCAGCTGATTAAGTACATATCAAATTGCTCAGTTAATTCATTTAACAAATGAACAGAAAGGTTAACAATGAATATTCCTTTTGTTCCAATATATTTGGATTAGGACAAATTGTAGCAAGTGGATTAACTAATAAGGGGTTGGTTAAAAGTTAGTATGGAGAGTTTTGCGGTACATATAACCCTACCCAGTTCAAGTGGAAACGATCGAATAATGAATGAAGAATATAGATAATATTAAAACAAAAAAATGTGTAGATCTCGAAAAGTTATGTGGAATCAAAAAAAGAATTACCTGATTTGGATACTCGAGTCAAAAGTTATGGCCTTTAGAAGTTTTATGATTAAATTATTTTTTTTTTGAAAAAAAAAGTGACACGCGTCAACACCTCATGAGAGACGTCCCATTTGGGCGTCTTCCCCTTAGGTTGAGACGTCTCAATGGCGCGTCACATGTGACGTCCAAAAGAGACATCACAGTGTGTAATAGATCCGTAATTTTTTCCGAAACCGTAATAAAATCGTAATTATTTAATTAAAAAATATTATTTTAATTTTTTTTGCCCTAAGCTCTTACGCTGAAAGTATCACCGAAATGACGTGGACTCGTGGAGCTCAAAAGTTCATATATCCTTGCACGTAAACACCTACCAGCTGTTATCAAAAAAAAAAAAAAAAACACCTACCAGCTCATAAAATCCTGAAGTGCTTCCAAGTCTAATCGTATGAATCTAACTTGCTTTTCGGTGGTGTTCCGGCATGAAATTTTTGTGTTAATTAGTTACATTACTCTAATTGAATTTTGATATTTGAACCTGGAATTGGTTTAAAAATAATCAAATTATTTATCCGGGCCGGTTATGATCCCTATCACGTTGATCTTTCTATCTGTCTTTTTTTCAATGTTAGATTAGATTAGATTTTATCCAAAAAAAAAAAAGATTAGATTCAAATCAAAGATTCTAAACTATATAATTTTTTTTTAAAAAAAATAAACAGTTATAATAGCGATCCCATAACTCAATATCTCTTAGGTTATCCATGTCATTTTTATTCTCTCTCTTTTAAACAAAACAAAATTATAAAATTGTTATACTTTTAACCCCACCAATGTTCTCTGTTTTTTTTTTTTTTGAAATACTCCAATGTTCTCTGTCTTTGTTGTTCTTCCTTTTTCTTTCTTTTTTCTCTCCCCTCTCTACGTTATGAATTATTTGAGTTATGTCCATTCGTCCTAAAAAAAGTACTTGTACTGAAGAGTAATTGACAAGGGAAAAAAAATCAAATGTGTTGGTAGCATGCAATTTAGATGCTTGTAATATTATGATATACCGATGATTAGAGAATTTTGTACGGTCATGTGAAGCATAGAGAAAAAAGTGATCTTTTTTAGTATAAATATGCATATAACTCCGATAATTCATAGAAAAGAGAGGAAAGAAAAAAGAGAGTGACAAATTTAAGTATTTTTTTAAAATATTTTTGTGTTTGGAAGATAGTATATAAGATATAGAAGCAGCCACTGTAACTGTTTATTTTTATTTAATTCTATATATAATGTTTGGAACCATCAATTTAAATCCAATTCAACGGTAGGAAAAATGACAACAACTAGGACGGTTAATTAATAGACAGTATACCGACCCAAATAATATAAGTTTGTTGTTTCCTCTCTTTTCTCGTCATTATGACCAAATAATAGATTTTTTTAAAAAAATAAATATTTTAATTTAGGATCTTTCTCCTGACGGTCATTATCTATACTATTGTAGAGGATTTTTTTTTGGGTAATCTAGAGGGAAAAACCCCAAAAAAGATCAAGTCAACAGGATTTTGTTTTTTAGGATCTTTCTCCTGACGGTCATTATCTATACTATTGTAGAGGATTTTTTTTTATTTGTTCACAATTTCGTTTTTCCAAAATATCATATTTTATATTTTCCCACAATATTATTTTTAGATACTCTTTACTTTACAATCGTAACTGTTTTTAATCAATCACCGACTCCTTAATTACTCTGTTTTTGTTTAGTAAAACTTGTTATATTTGACTCTTTATTATTAGTATTCTTGTTAGGGGAGGATTATATTTACAAATTTTTTTTTTACAAGTTCTTATAAACTACACTGTATATTGTGAATAGTATACTATGTGCTGTAATGTATTATTCCTATGACATAATATAGTTTATAAACAAAAAAATTTATAAATATAACTTTTCTTATTCTTCTAATCTTAAATAAAAAAAATTATAGATTGCTTACAAAAAAAAAAATTATAGATTGAGAACCACGTAATGTTCCAGGTCCAACGTTGCAGTTCACTACACCACAAATAATCAAACTTTAAAGTCAAGGTTGTGTACTGGAGCCAATTATTAAAGAAAACGATACGTTCCAAAAATATACAAACTTAAAAAATGGTAGCTAATTAAGTCAAGGCCGGAACCCACATGAAATAAATGAAGCTTAGATTTTTAGATTTTTTTTTGCTTGGAACAAAAGTAGATGGATGAATAAGTCTTTATTTATTTATTTTTTATTTGAATCGATCAATATATATGATGAGACTGTTTCTCTCTTCAACTACAGTTTTAGTTTTAGTTTTTTTATTTTTATTTCTCTGTTCGTAGATGAGAGTTAAAGTTTGACACATAATTTCGGTGATGTGTTATGTGACTCATGTTTATGCAAGTGCTTACCCAACCCTGTCGGATCTAGAAGAAAATTTTGATAGATAACCTTAATTTATAGCTATTAGAAAGAATTAACAAAAGTGGTCATATGAATTAACAACAATGACTATTTGATTGTTTAACTTATTCATCAACCTTCAAATTAAATAGTTCAATTTATTGTTTATAAAATAAGATAATGGAGTGCAATAGAGATTTAGACTCGATTCTTTCATCTGCTTTGACAAAATCGTTTTAAATAATTCAAAAAAAAAACTCTTTCTTCCTTTTGTTCTAACTTCTAAGAGAGAAAAGTGATTATTTAAGGTTTCACAGAAACGATTGATGGAACGAAACTTACTTCCATCCAACTTATTGAACAGTCCCACAACTTTATTTCATTTCATTCATAATTTCATCAAAGATAAACCTATGAAACTGAATAAGAATAATAATAATAATAATAATAATAATAATAATAAATTCGTTGCGGTTGACACTCAGAATTTGACTTTAGATCTTGATAAATTCATGCCGTAGTTATGGATTCATTTTCTTCATGCATGAACCTCAAAGTGTACGGTACCGTTTTTACAAGCCATTACCACCCATTATTGACATGCCCTTTTACTTTGAAAGCTTAATCAAATAATTTAGTTCTATATACTTTTCCACCACCCATTATTGACATGTACGTTTACTATGAAGCGTTTATACAAATTAGGCCATGTGCTGCCGTTCGGCCGCAATAATTTAAACCAACAAAAATAACCCATTGCTTTTACCAATGTCATAACATAACATGACATAAATAAGAGATTAAGACGAATCAGTCGTGTTTGTGATTTAACATACAATATGGAATAAATTTTTTTATGTTAGATTTCACCAATACAAATTTAAAAACAGATCGACCACTTCTTTGCACAAATTTGACACAGATAATGTTGTGTTTGCAACTTGACATATAACACAAAACAAATTTTCTTATGTCAAATTTATACAACATAAATATAATTTAAAATGAGTTAATCCGAACACAAATTTTTCGTGTCATGTTAAAAATTATCACCCATATTCATATTTACTTGAGAGTTAAAGTTTATTTTACAACATCACCTCCCATTTTGTCAACCAAGGAGTACCATCAATCACCGTTCAAATAAATAACCCAGAGAAACAAATCAATATATATAATTCAGGTCACCACTATGAACAGTTAGCTTCCTTACCAAATTGCGTAGCTTGACCATATATCCCTTTTCAATTTGGACACCTTCCCCCTCATTTCGCATAAAATAACAACGGTCAACTTATGTCATCTATATATCTTCGCCTTTCTCACTCGTCAAACCCAACCCCACCCATATTATATATAAATATATTATTATATATAATATTAATATATATAATATAGTATATATAAAGGACCAACCACAGTAACTAACATAATATATATACATAAACAAATCCACAAGAACCTCCATAGACCCAAATAGCAACAGCTTCTGCTATTCACCAAATTAAACCCTTTTCCACCAAAATCTTCTACTTTTTTCTGGGGAGTTTTTTTTTTTTTTTTTTTTTTCCAATGTCAAGTGTTGGATGCAATAGGGGTCCTGTGAAGATTGTGATAATCAATACTCAGTATGTGGAAACTGATGCTACAAGCTTTAAGTCTGTGGTGCAGAAGTTAACTGGTAAAGATTCTGATCCTTTAGCATCAGAAGCAGAGGGAAAAGCTCAGAGGGAGAGACATAAACGACATGGGGTTGAGGTTCCAGATGCGGTAAGTGATCTTCGAAGAAGCTCTTTTTTGATGAGAGATGTGTCGTTTAAGGAGTTTGAAAGGTTGCTCAATGAGATGCCACCGTTAAACGAACTGATCTGATCTGATTGATACTAACTACTTATCATCTACGTATATATATATTTATATATACATGAGTTTGTATTTGATTAATTGGTTTAATTCAATTTCAGTACTGTATACCACAGATACATTTATGTTTTTGTTGTTGTTTGAGGGGTTATGTATATATATAGAGAGATAGAGAGTTTGTGGGACTGTGTCCTATGCTCTTATTATAACTTGAATAAATGTTACATTGCTATTCACTATTGCTATTGATGCTTGCAAATATATGATTAGTTTAGGCTAAGGTGCATTATACAAAAGATTAATTGTTGATTTAATATTTAAGTTAACCAAATTTACAGAATGACAATTTTAAGAGATGATCAAATAACAAAGCAATTGGGGTGTACAAGATGAAGATTGTATACTTGTATAATCAACAACATTAATTAAATTTTTGCTTGGGTTAAGGCTCCTCAAGATGAAGTAATAACATAATAAGGTGAAGGTATTTGAATTAATAATTGAAAATATTAGGGGCCACCAAGGATATTGATTCGGTCCCAACTGGGAGAAAAATAAAGTATTATTTAATTCGATATCCCCTGTTAAGACCAAGTACTTCGTTGATACTCGTTTTAAAAAGGGGAAAAAAAAAAAAAACGAATTTGTAATACGAAATCAAGATACTGCAATGTCCAAAAAAAAATACTGCGCACCACTAGGGATAACCTAGTGGTGTTGGGTGTATTTAGTGTGTATTAAGTGTGCGGTTTGATTCCCTGTAATGTCCAAAAAAAAAGATACTACACTTCATAGTTAGGCAGCCAGGAGGAGACCATTATTAATGGGATTAAGCAATAATTTATCATAATAAATAAATTTGTCATTATGTCTGATCAACTCAAAACTTTAATAAATAAGATTTATGGCTTCTTTTCTTGAAATGTTCCTTGCTTAGCCCATGCAAATTTAAATGTGCGGCACAGAACAAACCAAAATGTTATGGATCCATATAAGGGGCTCATTAAGTGATAGGTTCAATAAGGAGACAATCCAAGATCTGAATCAATTATAATCACGGATAGATATCCATCAAGGATACTAATCCTGATACGACAACATAGCAAGCAGGCCTGGGCCCTTACCAGAGGCACCAAAGGCCTATCCACGCTACCCATAGGTAACCTCTATAAATACAAGGTAAACCCTAAAGGTACGGTACGCTCTCTCTCTTACTGTTATGCTGTCACTGTGCGCACACACACACCATTGGCTAATGCCGTTATAGTATTCCGTGCACAGTGATTTGCTTGACTCAAGGGTATCTCCTTCATAGATACCTTGAAGAGGGCACTAGATCCAAGATAAACATATCAGCCTATTGGGCTGGACATCTCTGTCCCAAGGACAGAACATTGGCGCCGTCTGTGGGAAACTTCTTCTCTGAATTTGAAGTTCCCACCAATCTGACAAAGGATGGCAATCCAAACAAGGAGCAGTGGCCAGCAGCCACCCCAAAACCAGAATCAACCGCTGGATCCAGTCTTGGAAGAGGTAAATCAGCCTCAGATTCGGCTAGGAAACGACGTGGATTATGATCACGTCCATGTCAGCGAAGATGTCTCTGACACCGTTTCCACTCCAGCGCGTTGTGATAAGGGTCCTGATCCAATCATGGCTCCAGTGAGGAACAACCCTCCCCAGCACCCCGGGGATCTTGCTGCGCGTATTGCCCAGTTAGCCGATCCAGATATTCGGCTGGCTCAGAATGCTCTCGCTTCGATTATGCAGCGAATGGAAGAGTTGGAAAATCGCAATAACCTCCAGCGGCAACAGGATTTCCAAACAATACGAGAGGAAATTACCAAGGGAATGCGAGACCTGGAACAACGCTTAATGGGGTTAGCTGAAAGAAACGAAGGCCAGGATGCCAATGGCCGGGAAGAAAATCGCAACTCGGCTCATCAGAATCGGGTTATAGAGGTGGAAAATCGTGAAAGGCCTAATTCGGCGAACACGACAAATTCGAATCGGGAAAACCAGGTTATGGGGGGACAAAACGCTCCTCTACAGCCCATGATCCAAAATGCTTCAATAGAGGCAAATGGGCAGAGACATCAGGATGGAACTCGTCGTCGCCGTGATGAACAGATAGTTAGAGGGCGAGTAGAATCCGGTGGCTACAAAAGAAAATACAGCAGGGGACAGTATAACAACAGCCCCTTCATTGGGGAGATTTTGAGTGCACCCTTCCCAGAAGACTTCGATTCAGCCCGACTGCCGAAATATGATGGAAGTCAAGACCCACAAGTCCATATTGATGCTTTTGACACGGACATGTACATCCGAGGAACAGACGAGCCTCTTATATCTCAGATATTTGCCATAACCCTGACTGGGGCTGCGCAGGCATGGTTCTCTACCTTACATGCCAACTCCATTGGATTTTTGAGGAATTTGGGGAAAAGTTCCTCTTAAACTTTGCAACAAGTAAGAAACACCCGAATTTCGAGTTCTCACTTGGAAAAATACATCAACAACCCGGAGAAACCCTCCAGAGATACCTCAATCGGTTCAAGGATGCTGCATTGCAGGTACCGAGTTTGCAAGAGAATGTCCACGTACATCTCATTGTGGCTGGTTTGGATGGTACATCCAGGTTAGCCAAGTCGATCTACAAGGACCCGGTGAAGACATTGGAAGAATTCAGAACTCGTTCGAAAAAATACCTCGAACTCGAGCAAATGGAGATCGCCAATGCGCAATCTGACGAGGGCAAAAGAATTAGCCCAAGAAGGAGAAACCCGGCCCCAAAAGGAAAGGAACGGGCTGATAATAAGAAAAATGACTCTAGGACCCGAATCCCGGATGGCCGGGATTGAGTTGGAAGATATGAGAAGTACACACCGCTGAATGCGCCACGTTCTCAAATCTGGAGGGAAGTGGCAATGACAGAAATGAAGAAGGTAGAAAGACCCCAGCCCAAATTCGACAGAGGAGGTTTGGACAAGTCCAAATACTGTGCATTTCATGGCGGACTGGGTCATACTACTGACCAATGTTGGGATCTCCGAGATGCTATGGAGAAATTTGTTCGAGATGGAAGGTTACACCAATACGTGATCAAAACCCAGGGTTCCAAAAACAACGAAAGGAAGTCGAGAAACAGAAATAGAAGTAAAAGCCCGGTTCCTGAAAAGAAAAACAAGGAGGAATAGAATCAGAAAAACGATTCCAACCATGATGAGTTCCCGGAAGCAGAATTTGATTGCAATGTAATCAGTGGAGCTCTGGGAGGAGGCAGAGACACGGTAAGTGCCAGAAGAAAGTATTTGAAAAAGTTACTCTCCATCCGAGACCGTCCTAAGTTCAAGGAAAACCTGAGCAAACCAGACCCTCCCCTTTTGTACTTCACAAAAGAGGACATGCATGGTGTATTGCCGGCACATGTGGACGGGTTAGTCATTGCTGGAACCCTGGTAAATTGTCGGGTTAAGAAAATTTTCGTGGATGCAGGGAGTAATGCCGACATCATACTCTGGGACTCTTTCAAAAAGATGAACCTCGATGAGGAGGACCTCAAACCCTGCAACGACTTTGATTGTTTTTAATGGAGAACATACACCTCCTAAAGGCTATATAGATCTCAGGTTGACCTTGGGAACAAAAGAAGCGTTAAAATCAGAACGGGTTAGATTCATAGTGGCTGACTTTCTGTTAGAATATAATATAATTCTAGGAAGGCCAACCATACACCAGTGGGATATGCTGGTTTCTACAAAACACCAGAAGATAAAAATGGTGAGCAGTAAGAATGAAATAATTACTGTTTGTGGAGATCAAAAGGAGTCCAGGGGATGCTATTTTGACACCGTCAAAGAAAATGAAGGCGGACATTCGAGTCCACCCCGGATTCACCCAAGGGATAAACTCGGCAAGAACACAATTCCTCAACAGTCAAGGAAGCCGGTCAACGTGGTTGAACTAGACATGAGAGAAGAAGTAATCCCGAGACCTAAGCCCGATGGAGAATTAGAAGATCTTGCATTGGGGAAAGAACCTGGTCAATTTACCCGAATTGGTAAGACTATAGATCCTCGGATCAAGCAAGAGTTAGTCGGGTTCCTCCAAAATAATACGGATGTATTTGCTTGGAGGTCATCAGAGATCCTAGGGATAGATCCTGCATTCTGCTGCCACAAGTTGGCAGTTTACCCCGGATCCACACCGGTTTCTCAAAAGAAAAGGAAGCTGGGACTGGAAAGGAAACAAGTCCTAGAAGAACATGTGAAGGAATTACTGGATGCGGGGTTCATTCGGGAAATACAGTATACAACATGGCTGGCAAACGTGGTGATGGTGAAAAAATTCAACGGGAAGTGGAGAGTCTGTACTGATTATACGGACTTGAACAAGGTTTGCCCAAAAGACTCCTACCCTATGCCCAACATAGACCAGCTGGTAGACAACTCGGCAGGATTTCAATTGCTGTCTTTCATGGATGCATATTCTGGTTACAACCAGTTTCCAATGTACCCAGGAGATCAAGAAAAAATTGCCTTTATTGCTGAAAAGGCCAACTACTGCTATAATGTGATGTCGTTTGGGCTTAAAAACTCAGGGGCAACTTATCAAAGGATGATGAATATGGTGTTCGAGGATCAACTGGGCAAAAATATGGAAGTATACATTGACGATATGATCGTTAAGTCATTTGACATGACAAACCATGTCCAGGATCTCGAACAAACTTTTCAAAAACTCAGGAAATATTGAATCCGTCTAAACCCGGTAAAGTGTACGTTTGGAGTCCCAACTGGAAATTTTTTGGGTTTCATGTTAACCCATAGAAGGATTGAAGCAAACCATAACAAGTGTAAGGCAGTACTGGATATGAAGGTGCCACAGAATAAGAAGGAGGTTCAGCAGTTAACCGGTCGATTAGCTGCATTAAACCGGTTCTTACCCAAGTTTGTTGAGAATGCCCTCCCTTTCTTTAAACTATTGAAGAAGGAAGCAATAGAAGGATG